ACATTAAAGTTCCTAACACATACCAGTACATGTACCTAAAAGTTAGGTACGGTAAAATCTTGATAAGTCGAAGCCCGTTAAGTCGAAACTCTGTTTACCTCAACATCTTTCTGTATTCCCGACAAAAGAATAGGCCTTTATGTACAATAAACTATCCGTAACTCGAAACGTCAATTCCACTAAAGCCGCTTATCCCGAAGTTTTGGCAGGCCAATTAAAAACCCACTGAAGAATGATGAATAAAAAGTGATGAAAGAAAGTTTGCCTTCATTATGAGTCATTACTTTCATGTGCACAACTTTTCTTTGATGAGCCGACCATGTTCACACGGGCTGCTATTGTCACGTCGACAAGCACTGGGTGGGAACAACCGCAACCGTAAAATTAGGCCGTGTCAAAAACGGGCTTCCAGAGCTACGGCTAGATCTATTGCCTGCGCGTCTCCATGCATTTCCAATGGAATGAATACCAAGACCTAGCTCCAGACGAGAGATTCGGATGCAGCCTAAATCAGGCACAAATGATGCGCCCTCAAGCGCTTTGTACATGTATCATGTGACCCAGCACGGAAACCCTGACCGACTGGCCCGTGCGTTGCGTTATGCGGTAACAGCCCGATCATGCAAGCACACAGGTACCTGTACATAACGTCATTGGTTTAGTGTTTATTAATGTACCACATAAAAACATGTTTAATGATGATGTTTGAGGAAATCTTGCACAGTACGGATAGCCTAAAATCCACTTCATGTTTGACTCAGCTTGCAGGCCAACTGCCGTAAGCCAGTAAGGTTGCATGTGCACTGAAGCTTGTAACTTTCAATAACTCAAACGTCGGATAACTCAAACTTTTCGTCCATTCCCCTGAGCTTCGACTTATCAAGATTTTACTGTATTTTCTTCCCTTAAACAACAGGTGAAATAGAGAAAGAAGTCCTGGAGATGCAAGAGAGCAACCAGCATTTGACCACCTCTAGCTTATTAGACCCTCCAAATCAAGCTATGCCAACAGAGCAATCCCTACAACCCCAGACTGAAGAGAGACACTCCACTGCAGCCGGAGGCGCCAGTAGTGTGTCAGGTACATGTACATGTACATGTACCAGGCAGCAGCATCCAACAACACCAGTCAAGATAGACATTGAACAATTCAAGGAGGACTTCATGGATATGAATCTTGGTATGTACAATGTATATCATTGGACTTCTCTACTTTATCTACCTAGTGTTTCTCTATAGAATTGACTTGTCCCTGTTTTACCTCCCAAATCAGTGTGAACCCAAAAGCAGCACCACTTGGGGTGAAGGAACATGTGAGTTCCTTTGAGTCGTGTTGAAATAAGACTTGTGCTAGCCTTGCGTAATTATACACTAAAATCAATTTGTATCAGTTCTGTTGTCCGATTTGGAATAATTTCACCTTTGGGGGTATCAACATTTTGGTTTCAAATAGCTGGTTCTAGTTGCTTAAGTGTTGATACTAGGCACTGCTAATGATTTCTGAGGAGAGTTTCATCCCTAGCCTAATGAGCTCAAAGGCCTTGCAGAAGTATCCATTGAGAGAGGACACTTTGTTGCGTAATAACAACATCCAACCGAGCCAAAAGCACATGGTACACAGCATGTACACTGTGTTAATGTAGTTGCCAAAGAAAAGATGCCAGAAGCAAACTGTGCCAGTTTCGGGAGTAAAAGAAAATTTCATACAGAATACCGCACAATCTGGGCTCTTTTACAAGGCAGCCGGCCTAGCTGAAATACTCGGGCATCAATAGATGTTGTCTGTCAGATTAGAGTAGCCACCAGACAGTCATTCGTGTGGATGTAAACATCCAGTAAATGAAGCTATGGTTTTTTGAAGAATTTTGAAAATGGAAAATCACCCGGTTTTATGTCATGCAACTTCAAATTACACTCGGCAGCAAGTGGTTAAAGTGTCCGGGCACATAGTTGTTGCCAAGTGTTTGCAACTTTGCACCTTTGGAAGTGCACTTCCGCGTTTGCAATGCTTCCTCATAAATGGCTGCATCTTTTCAGCCTTTCCAGAGGAATGCGTGGCATTGTACAAAGTATGACAAAAATCGAGGACGAATTTTGGCTTGCAAGGCTGAGGTCAAGGTGACTAGTCATTTCAATGAAGGCTCCCCAGCAGCTATTGCACATGATTAGGATTCTGCAGTAGCTTGCTTGCAAGCTTTGTGACATGTTCCTCACTACGCAAGTGAGCTTTCACAGTGTCCACCCTTTTAAAATTCACACTTTGCTCACAGTACTTACAGAAGAAGATTTCCCCATGGCATAGAAATCTTAACTGAACTGCGTTGCATGCACATATGTATTTACATGTACCAGTGGGGCCTATCGCCTGGGTTTACTTCTATTATTAACTAATGCCATTTTGTCCACAGATTATGTAGCCATTTTCAAGATGTATTTTTTTGCGTTGGGGAGATGTTAATTTATATAACGGGTTTTGCCCTTACCCAACGTATATTAATAAGCACTGTATGCTCAGTGCTTGTCCGAGAGCTTGCGAAAAAACCTTACAAGCTTACTCGTGTGGGACTCGAACCCACGACCTCCTGCTTACTAGTGCAGAAAAAAAAACATCTTGAAAATAGTTTGCGGTTACCCGCTGCTTCACTTGATTGGGACCGGCCAGTCGACCCTGGCAAGCTCGGTGGTCGACTACACTAGTAAGCAGGAGGTTGTGGGTTCGAGTCCCACCCGAGTAAGCTTGTGAGGTTTTTTTCGCAAGCTCTCGGACAAGCACTGAGCATACAGCGCTTATTAATAAACGTTGGGTAAGGGCAAAAACCCGTTATTTAAATTATGTAGCCAGTTTGTTAAAACAACTGAGAGGCACCTGCAAAAAACTTGGCAACAATTTCTAAGCCATAGAGGAAAGTTTAAAACAAGTAACTGACACCTGTGTCAAATCATGTCATTTAAAAAGCCAAAACAAAAGCAAACAGGAAAATGCAGAAACTGTGTGCTCAACCTAATTCTCCTTCCAAGAAAAGGAAAGAAATACCCTGCAATGTTTCCAATGTTCTTTTATCATTTTCTGTTGTGAAAATTTAAAGAATAATTTTTCACAACTTTCAATAGCTATGGCATCCTTTATTTAAATTTCCTGCCTGTCACATCACCAAAACCCTTTTACAATTAATGAACGATTTGTATGACAATCCATTTGTACAAAATCAGTTTATGTAATAAAATCATTGGAATCATTGCAACTGCCCTTGGTCACAATATGTTAATGTTGGACATTGACCTACCATTTTGCTTGACAATGGTGCAATGAAATTCGGAAAGTTTACAGTCAATCTGGACCTTAAAATTAATCTTAGTGAATGAAACCTTTGCTCTTCACCAAAGGCTTCCGTTGTCCTTAGGTGTGGGGCATAAAGCTCCATCAGATTTGTCTTTATGTTTTATTGATCATTTGCCGTGTGGTACTAGCCTTGTCTCAAGATATTAATGCATTGTCTAATTACAGATTGAATTTCGCATGTGTGCACTAATGCGTATGTACCTTGATTAATTGCTAGTATGGCGCATGTTAGAATGGTCAATGTGTGCGTCATGCCACATCACATCATACACAGGTTCACGCATGTCTCGGCATGTGTCAAAGTACATGCCGGCCCAATTCCTAGTTATGTGTTGGAGTGATACAGGTTGGCATGTTTTCAACATAATTCATTCACTTCGTGTAAAAGCAAGCTAGTACATGTTTGTATAAGGGTCAGGTAAGTATTTATTTTTAGTACGTCACTTTGTCACTTGTTGAAGCCATGATTTCTAGGGAATTTTGCGAGTTCCCTTTACAGAAGTGGATTCCCTCTTGAGGTGTTGATCTCGCGAATTCCGTACATTTTCCGTGATCACACAAATTATTGGCTCGAAATGTCCCCTCCTGGCAGTTGCCATCCAAAACTTTGACATTTGAGGTTTGTACAAACTCGCAAAGAAACAGCCGTAAGCCAGTAGCCTTGACATAAACTCACTCATTGGTCATATTTGTTTTATGTAATAGTGCTCCAGGAACACACCTCCCAGAAAGGACATTTTCATCACTGGAATTGAAGTTTCTATGGTTCATATGTGACTTTGCACACACATTGATTATGAGCTCCTATTGGATGAACACTCAAGTTGTATCTTAACTTCAGTTCCATGGTTCTATGTAAATCTGTGTGCAGTGGGCGTGGTTTAAACTGAAATGATGTCACACTTGTGAACCGGGATAGATGATAATGAGAAGTAAGCTTGTGAAGTGCCCCCATGCATAGTATCCTGCGCTATAGGCATATTGAATCTTTGTACTTCTTTACAAATTTTGTACACATGTACATGCTGTTAGTCGTGAGCTTTGTTTCTCAATTGTGATATCAATACAAACTATGAAGTCGTTAATAGGGCTGTGTTATTAGTCAAAATACATATTACAATGTGTAATATGAAGTCTTTTTTCTGAAGTATCATATATGTGTGTGTCAAACATGATTTGTTTTTTAGAACATGACGAATCAAACTAAAGTCTTCCTACCTCACCCAAAAAAAATTTGCTTTGGCCTGACCTATAAAAAAAGTTTTGTCAACCTTATCTCCGTCTGGGCTAGTCTGAAGAAAGTAAGGACACCTTGCAGGACTTTGGGGGGTGTAGCCATTATTAGTCTGTAGTTGGTACACAGTTACTGGTAATGTTGTAGTTGGTAACTGTACAATGCCCCCTGCTAGGAATCTGCACATCACCTATTGTATTGTAATATGCATTGTCTCTACATTACATCTTGGCTTTCACAAGTGAAGCCCTATCTGCTTATACATGTATATACCCAAGTCCAGCTTGTTTTATGCAGTTGTCTGAAGCTGTAAGGTTGGCAATGTGTGTAGTGTACTTGAAATCAAATAGGGAGAGATACTTGTACAAGTAAATTTGTTTAATCTGCAACTGTAAGAAAAAATGCCCCATTTCTGTAAAAAAATGCCCCATTTCTGTAAAAAAAAGGAGCATTGCACTTTGAAAGCAGCCTCCATAAGGATTTCACAGCATTCACTGACACTAGCCTTTTCAAAGCAGGCCTCATCAGCTGGACATTTCAGAGGGTTGGTTCTTTTGCTAGGAATACAGATGTGCCCCCAAGAACATAATTTGACCTGCCGGAACTCTGTCATGTCTGTAGAGGGCAGTGTTCAATAGCCTTACTCATCAGTTAAACAGATGTCAATCTGCTGTGACTGAGACAGCCAAGCGAACTCATTGATTCTAATTACACGGGAATGTCATGAAGGAGTGAAATACATGGATATTAGTTGTTTTTATCAGATGACACCATATTTTTTCAAATGTTCTTGAAAACACAATAAGTTATCTAGATAGGAACGAGGGCTATTTCCAGCAATTTCTTTGAGGTCTCTTTTTTGTTCCAAAATGTTAACTGTAACATGTCAGAATAACATAGGTCATCAAATTTGCCAAGTCCAAGCATGGTGTGCATGTGATATCAATTATAATGTTCATTATAAAAGTCCAAAGAATCCTTTTCCTCTATGCTTACACTGGACAGATGAAAACTGATATTTTTAGATTTGGATATTACAAAAAAAGTAGAACTTTTGTTTTGTGGATACATACACATAGTTCGAGAGATGGAACTTGGGGAGTTGCGGTGTCGGGACCAGGAACTCTTTGAACTCAACATGCAACTCAGCAATCAGTGCCAGCAACTTCAGGTAATGTACATAAATCTGGAAATCTACCCCAACAACATCAGACTTCAAGTTACATGTATCTTTTCATTGCTAAGATTTTTGCTGCTGGCAGGGGAAAAAACGTTTGTGATTGAATGTGAAATATCATGCGGCTGAGTGTACATGTAGTTTGATGCTGAACCGTGTACAGCAACTAAATGTTACTTACAAATTTTGTCCTTGGAAAGGTAGTGACTCTATAGATGTATATGTACACAATTTGTAGATATCTTTCTGTGATCACTGCAGTTTAATCAGTACAGCTCTGGTACTAAATATACACAACACACTATATCCAAGCCTGTGCAGCCATTTCACAGTGGTGTGCATTTGTCAACCGTTGTATTTTTGTTACTGATCATCAAGGGCTATTTGTATCTTGAGTCCAAAAAACTGGCTCCCTTTTTGTAAATTGAAAGTATGCCACAGTCTAAAAGTAAAGAAATATGTTTCCGAACTGTTCTCTTTACTCTCTGGTCTTCCTGTTGTATGGTAGGATGCAGTTGCTAAGGCAACGCTGGAACTGAATGAACTAAAGCGGGTGGACACTACACTCAGGGCCAAGTTGGAGAGTCTTCGAATGGTTCCCACGCTCTTTGGTGTCATCAACTTTTGACAGAGGCTATTCATTTGGATGCAGCCTTTGAAGAATTATTCGTATGATCTCCAAGATCCCCAACTTGGTTTTAAAACCAAATGTCAGTGTTTCTCATAATATTTATTCCAGATTTCTATCACACAGTAAGAATATGTTGTTTGTACAGAAGCCTAAAGCTCATTATATTATTCTATCTCTGTATTTATTTATCCTTTATGCCTTAATTTCACTCTGAGAAAAACAACTCTTCCTTTTCACCCTCATGTCTAGGATGTTGAAAACAACTGAAATTTCCTGAATTAATTAAAAACTTGGACTAACTCATAGCCAATAACACAAATAACCATAAGCAGACATGACTTCAAATGACAAATGGGATACATGCATCCTATTGCAGTTCATCACTCATAAATGACACCTTTAATGCAAGATTGGTAGGTGAACATGCGTTCATTGCTGAGCAGCGAAGTTCCAGCTTTCCTGTTAGTATTAATTCTGCCGGATTAATTTCTGCTGAAATTAGAGCAAAAGGTTGAGTCCTTCTCATCCTTTTGTTCCAGACAAACTAGTTGCTTTGAGACAAGGACCAAGATTCAGCCTCTTAGCAATGCACACACCTCCATGTACGATTCAGCTTCAAATCAGCCTCGAGGGCAGGTTTTACAGTGATTCTTCACTGCTTACGGTCGGTTCACCCACACTGCATGTCACCATGAGTAGCATTCCGCTACTTAGAACTCACTGCCGCCAGATGGTATGAGGAGTACATGTACGAGCCTGCTGGATGTTTGACCCTTCTGCTAGAGTGGAGATGTGCTCACAGTGGCCTGAATAATTCCACTCAGAGGAAGAGCTGCTTTGTGGCAGATTAAATCCAGTCCCGTGTTAAAGATTGATATCACTCCCTCAATAAAATATCTTGAGGAAAAAAAAGTGGTACTAATGCTGTCTTTTGGATAGCGCAAACGGTGACAGGCAGTGATGCATGTCATGACTGTGCTCAAGAATATAGCATCATCTCAAGAATATAGCGTAGTGAACATAGTATCAGCTGAGAATTTTTCATTTAAGCATCAGACATGATGGGACATCACTTTGTGGTCCCAAGATAATAATGACAGTATGGGTTCCGAGTCATCACATCAAGTCATCAAGCACATCAACCCCCACCCCAAACTTTGACTTTGTCATTTCTGCCTTCTCATAAGTGAGATATCGGTCATTAGTTATGGGAGTCACTGAAACTCTGCTCTCATTATGAATTTGAATAAACCAAGTGTCAGTATATCAGTATTTGAAGCCTGCAGAAGGTGAACCCGTACACTGAACGTTTGAGGCCGTGTCGACCATTAACGGTATGCTTTGGGTTGACTGGGATGGTACGGCTGTATCTAGTGGGAATACTGTTGAAAGAAGTTGCATGCAAAAGTGAAAACTGGTCGTGTTAGTAATGTCCAGGTTAAGGTGGGTTCGTACCATGGTGCGAACACGAGCGCCAAATTGTGACGAGATATCAAGTATTCGGGCGTCGAATTCGCAAAAGTTTAAAGGCTGGTTCATATTTCATGCGAAAGCGAAGCGAATTTAACGCCGCGACAGGTTTTTAGCGAAATTTTGCTCGGGTTGAAATCTGTTCAACTTCTGCAAATCCGTAGCGCGAATATGTGACCTGACGTCACAAATTTGTGTTCTTGTTCGCTTTCACTTTTTAACACTTTTCAGCTCAGCGAATTTTGCAAGAGATATATTTCCTGACGTAAAATTCACTTCACTTTTGTGTTTGTCCGAAGTCCGGAGTTTAAAAAGGCAATTTTACTAACTGTTTAAATTCCCGCTTTCAGGTTTTGGAAAACGTTTCATTTTGTTCTTTTGTAGAATTGCCATAAAGCCGTTATCAAAGTGAAATGTGCATGAGCTTTGTATCTACAAAAACGCTTGCTTCTTGATGTGAAATGAGAGAAAGCCTTGATAGTCTTCGGTTAATGATAAGCTGTATTAAGACTTGTCTTGGGGCTAATTGCTCAGCATCGGGAGAAGATTGCTGCAGTACCTGCGTATTTTCGCTGGACACCTGGTCATAGATACATATACATGTACAGGTTTGAATATTTGCCATTTCATGTTTTGGTGGGTTTGTTCAGTTTTTAAAATCCCTTTCAGGATCAGCAACACTAAATTTTGGAGAAGTGTAAAAACTTGGTTTTAGCTCCATGGACGCTAATGTTGCGAAAACAGTAAACACAATAAATCCATTTATATACATTTCGCCTTCTTTGCAGTTGCCATACTCTCATCTACATTCTTAGGAATCGGATCGGGTAGAAATAAAGATTGGATGTCGAATTTTCACCATCTTGAATGGATCGAAAAGAAAAACCATTGGATATTTGTGAAAACACCTGTACATCTGTAACAAAGCATTGCATGACAGCCGGTTAGATGGATTAGTTCCTTGTCATCCTATCTCTACTTCAAACCTTGTAATTTGACCGGTTGTTTATTGCAAAGTAAAGAGGAATGGTGTTTTCGTCCCTTCAAATTTGTAATAATTATTTCTCGCCAGAATCATCTACGAGCCGCAAGGAAAGAGTGATTCAGTCAAGGTCGAACATATACCTGCGGATGGTTCCTTTTCACTTTGGACTGTTTGAAATCATCTGCCTTTATAGCTTGTCTCAAATGCTATACTGTGTGAATACAAAAATATTTAAGACTTCCTATAAAGACCAGTGAATGTAAGTTATATATTGAATAAATATGAGTCAACTTGTCATGGAGCCTTGTGTGTATTCTTATTTGCAAAAAGTGAACATACAAATGAATGCATTAAACTGAACCTTGATTTCGGAACTTGGTACTTGTAGTTTTAAAAAAATTCTAGTAGATTCCAGTCCATCCAGTTGCCATCAATACTCGGTATACAAACATCAGCAACGTTCAAGCTGCAAAAATGAAAAGTAGCAGTTAGTGAGGTTTTCCGTTACTTGCATTAGATTGGACTGTGGCAAATACTACGGTGTGTGTGTTTGTGGGGTGGATTGAAAGCGTTTACACTGGAAACAGCACTACCACCTTTCTGAAGAGAAAGGAGCAGTGCGGATTCCTTTTATGTAAGAAAAAAAGTGGCCTGTTGTTTTTACATGTAGAAAAAAAATCCCCCAAACTGGAAAACATCACAAGAGGGATGGGGAGATGGAGCGGCCATAGAGAAAGATCTTGATGTGGGTGATGAGAAAGGGTGAAAGGTGAGACTTGGGCCAGTTTTATTAACAGACGAAATAAGCGTCGTTTCGTTGGACATTCCCGATAGCCTCCTATGACAGCAACCATAGCGTTGGGATTTGTGCGACTGTCACGGAAAAGTGCCCGACCCTGTAATAGTTATTTCAGTATTCATACCGCCGGAGTGGTGGGGCCACTGCGAATGACCATAAGGCCGCAATTCGGGCCTATGCCATACTTTACCAAGTAGGAACAGAGACAAGTCACTTTGTCACGAGCCTGAATGGTCAGTTGTTAGAAGCTAGGAGCATATGTTTTGGAAAAAAAAATCAGTAATGACTAGGCTCACCAGGGATTAAACATCTGTCATGTATCATCCGCTTCAGGTAGAAGCACCCCTTCATCAGTTGAAAAGAGCCATATTGGTCGGGACAGTTCATGTTGGTAGTGATACGACCGTGACGCGTGCATTTCGTAATCGTTCAGTTCTGATCAAAGGAGGCTCCGTTGCTAACGAAATTGCGCCCTCTCTTGCTCCATCTCGAGGCTTATAGGATGTGCTTCATTAAAAAGTGTTTGTTGCTTTTCACGCCTTAGGGATTTTTACCCACGTCCCATCCCCCGTGGCGTAAATTTGTTCAGACTGGGAGGATTGAGGAGGGATGACGTAAAGAAAAAAATGCCCGGGGGTTGTTACATCTTATGACACTTATGCGTTATTCATGATGTACCGGTAGATGAAGATATCTTTAAAGGAACCAGGAAATATAAATATTTTTATAACTTTTACTAGAACCCTTAAAATTGCATCTTTGGCTTTCAATTAACCTATTTTAAATGTTTATTTTGCAATTTTAACCCATATTTTGATGTTTTTTTGGTTGTTATGCTAATGTACATTTGCATATTTATGAGCAGAACTATGATGTCATCCAAGGCACTGAAACTCAATGCTGTACTGATTTGTGCACAGAAAATTTCTAGATTCTTTTAACCACTGCTACGGCAGATTTCATTTTCTTTGGCAATTTATGTCTGCTTGAGTATATGGCAATAATCCAGCAAAAATCCTTTTCATAGAAATGTTCCCAGATAGCAAATTTGGGGTTCACAATTTGAACATGAAAACATGCAACCCGAACCGTGTCTTCCTGAATTTACATCAAAGTAAAAGCGCCCTCGCTTGTCCAGAAAGGCTTGGTAAAGTTTAAATGTTTGAAAAAGTGCACTGTTCAGTTCACTTAACTCAAAAAAGACGTCAAACAGTCTTCATACGTAAAAGAAGGGTACAGAGCTACACAAGAGTGATTCTAAGAAAAATTCATTTCTTGGATTCTTTAATTAACATGTGCCCCTGAACCTTACATCAAAACAGCGTATTAAAATTTAGGGCCTATAGTTTTAGTGCTAATAAAAAATTGGATTAGGCCTGAAAGGTCCGAGAAAGTGATCTCAGACTGTGCAAATTTGTTTTCACCACGAAAAAGGGGGATGATTCAATAGCCCATACCTACCCTCTTGTCAACAAGATGCGTATAGAGTGCCCCATGCCTCCACCCTCCTTCATCCGGATGCCCATATTGAGCGCCGCATGAACACTGGCGGCGGAAGCGGGGGAGGGGAGCCGTGGACTCCCACTTTTTTGACTGAGGAAGAATCCCCCATCTTTGGCAGGTCCTTCAAGGATTGATGCCTGATGCTCTCACAAATGGGCCCCTCTCTGAAAATCGTTCAGCCACCAATGCACATGCATGTACATAAAAATCTAATTAAGATATGTAGCTGCTCCCTCGTCATATATAGTTGGGGCAGGGGCTTGTTAATTGCATTCTAAACAGAAGCAAGAGCTTGGCATCGCTTGAAATCGACCGCCAACTCACGCGACAGGTTGTGTTCCTGTGCATTCAATTTGGGCTACTCCATTTCCATTCCCAACCACAGCCGCTTCATTGTTTCTGGATGGACGGCTGTCGATTGATTTTGTGGCTTCGCGTTTTTCCCCGTCTGATGCATGCTGAAATGATGAATATCATTTTCTTTGACACAGCATACCGGAGAGCGTAGCACGGATACGCGGAGAGGCTCTCTCGAGGCAAGGGATCTGTATTAACACAACGCCCCTAGGGGACGGCGTCGTGTTTACTGAAGCAGGCCATCGTGATATACGTTATGTCCCAAGGAAATGAAAACCATTTTGTAATACGAGTATACGTCATATTTTTTATTCAGTGACGTCAGTGAGGTATTACCTGAACTGAGGCCCAACTCCGCCCTTTCAGAAACGGTGACGCGCAGTCATCGACAAAAGTGGTAGGTGTTTCATCGAAATGTGTGTTTTCGAGCGCGTTGTTAATATTTTGTAAGTTTCAAGGATGTATGTACTGATAACCATAAAAAGAATTGCAGACAGTAATGCAGAACAGGTTTTATTAATTTTTGTGACCATCAGGCCGATCGCCTAATCTCTCAGTTGCTTACGTGAGGACTCTGATTGAGAACCAGCCGGCAATAAAAAAACAACAAAACAAAACAAAAAAAAAAACCCAAAAACAAAACAAAACACACACACATAGCGAGTTGCCACTATTTACCCTTTAGTCAAAGAAATCTTTTAATTTCAAAAATTCAATATACGATAAGAGATACGCGCCACTCATTTCAGATTTCATGTGTTGAGTTTACGCGCGCAATCCCTTCCTGCTACTTGAAACTCAGGGATTTGAACTGATAGCTTTTCCAAAACTTGTGGTAGTTTGTGCCTCACATTTTACATACAAAGGCAATGCAACAGTTAATATGTGACGTGACGTGGCATGTGTCATCATTAGTTTCGTCCTTTTCACCAACCTTCAATTTCTCCCTACTCAACTCTTCCTCATCACCCACCTGATTTTGGAATCTTTTTTTCAACAATAATCCAAACTCCTTATCGCGGCATTACTTAATTTTGTATTCACTCCGAGGTCTCCATTTTATTTTCTTGCTATAATGTCTGGGACATGTTCTTTATGGAAAACTGGTGCACTAAACTAGTTGGCGACAAAATACACGGGCTGCATAGCGGACAGTTCTAATGCAAGGGTCGTTGCGAAACATGCATGACTTAAACATCCAAAGGTTTTGTGCAGTTTAAATGAAGAAGGTGTAGATATTATAATATATTCCGCAGATGTGCGCATACCCATGTCTATGAACACTCTGGCCCCGACTTTAGGGGTACACTGAACCCGTCCTTCGCTAGTACAAAAGTTTTAGAGAGGCTCTGTAAGAGGCAATATCCCACTACTGTTATCTTGCATGCAACATGCTAAAAAGGGGCCGTTCATATTAGGTACGTACGTGATAGGGGGAAGCGTTGGTGCCGTTGCGTACACCATGCGTACAGAGGGAGGGGCGTTCAAGCCAGTGCGTACCGTACGCAACAGAAAATTTGACTTTCATGAATCTTCATCATATCAATACACTTTCTTCATACAAATAGATACCAGAATCAGCTTTTGTGCAGCGAAAAATCATTCAAACACACTATCTTCCACCGTTCTTCCCATCATTTATCCTCATTTGCCAAAGCCCATTACCGCATCTTCCATAAAAACAAAACAAAAAATATCCCTGGTGCCTTTCTCCCTCTTATGCCCTCTACGTGCATAAGAGGGGGAAAGGCACCAGGGATATTTTTGTTTTGTTTTTATTCAACCTTTTCTTTAACCTAGCAAGGAAACATTTTCCATGGCCGTTAATAAATAAATACCACTTTGGTGATTTATTTCACAATTTGCAAGCGACGTGCGAATAACAGGACTATAGATTGACTATGCACATTTAACGATGCTAAAACAAGGTACCTTGAGAAATTAAAAGATAAATGTGGAATGAGTATGCGCACAGGGGGAGGGGGTTGGAGCCACTGCGTACGCCATGCGTCCGGGGGGGGGTTGGAGCCACTGCGTACGCCATGCGTCCGGGGGGGTTGGAGCCACTGCGTACGCCATGCGTCCGGGGGGGGTTGGAGCCATTGCGTACGCCATGCGTCCGGGGGGGTTCTGAAAAGTTTTGGCATTTCGTGAGTACGTACTTCATGGACAGCCCCTAACGCCATTCCACAAACACATTAGAATTCCCTTGGCATACGCCACATCACGCGGTCCTGTTCTATCAACTGTCAGGCTGGAGTATAAAGCAAACCCTAGTTTGAACCGCTTCATTGTATCGTCAGGTCATCGGACGCACAGACTAAAGGGGCGACCTGCCGAAATCCAACAGCTGATTTTCACTGCATCTGTTTCCACCAGATCTGATCCTCATGTTCACTGGCCAGCTTAACAGATTACATGATTCAAAATGCTAGTTCCATAAAAACAAATGCCAAACGAATGAATACTCTTGGGAAGAATTCGATTAATCAATGGCATTTAAGCCAAAGAACCAATAAACCTATATACGACCAGTTTTTGGTAGATCCGTCAGCAACATAATCTCTGTGAAATAGTCAAGTAAAGGAAAAACCTGATTCATGTATTTCAAATTGATGGCTACCATTTTGCTACCATGCAACTCAGTGGTCATCTTGTAGCTAATCGTCGTAAAAGCGATTGGCGTATGTGGGCGAGTGACGGTATGGTAACTGTGCCAGTGAAAAACGGTGATCAGGTAATGCCCAGTAAAATGATGGGAGCAAAACACGAAGCAGTTCCATCGAGTGGCGGATTGTGACACCCCACATCCATGCCGCGCCAATGCATGGTGACAACTTGAGTGGTCAGTTGTTTTGCTTTCGTTTCCCTTATTATGTAGGCGGGTGGGGGTACCGGGTAAATAGGGCATATCGCAATGAAGTTACTCGACATGTGTTTGGATTTGTCGTGTTCAATTAACGGCTTATTTTATCCAGATTTGTTGGAAGTTACATGAAAGTTGACGGCCCCATTGCCAAGTCATTAATTTTCCCTCGGCTCATCTATTCATTAATTTAGCTGTGCCACGCCACCTTTGGTTTCACGTCGGACAACTCACCTATTAGTTTGATGGATGAGGTAGCCTTCTAGTAAAGTCATCTCCAGTGTATGCAAACAAGGACGATCATGTCATCATTTACGATCGGCTTTTTACTTGACTAAGGCCTAGTCGCCACGCCCCACTATGACACAGCGTGTCCGTAGTTCGTCACACACACCCCGCTACTGCTGGACGCGCACCCCCATGCCTAATTTATCGATCTATGCAGCCCTGGCCGGCTTTCACTTGCCTTTTAATACAAAGTCGTCGCTGAGGCGCGTGTTTCGACGAAGACCAGCAGGTCGTGAAATCGACCAAATCACCTACGAGATAACCAAACTTAATTTCATGCACGGATATGATGGAGGAGTCGGCATAGGTACCGATGCTCCCTCGGCTTGCCGCCTTGACCAATATACAGAATCAGGATATGCTTGGTCACGCTTTGGACGGATATTTTCTTTC